CCTGCAAAGGCAAGCCACGGAAGGCTGAGAAATTCATTTTCAAAAAGGGCACGTCCTGTCGCTAAGGATATTTATGCAAAATACGACCCCCATCTAACTTCCTCATTTGGCCCGACGCCCCTTCCTAGCATTTGACCGATTTTCTTTTCCAAGCTTCTCACCACTTTTCCCCCCAGGTTTTTCCTAAAAATTCTGTTTTCCCTCTCAAAGAACTGCCGTCCAGCGATAAAAACCCACGGAAATTCAACAAACAAAACAAATGGCCGGAAAAACGGAAAGATTCTCTTAGGGCCAGACAGGACCCCCCCCCTTTAATGGGAGTCTCTCAGGGACGTTGATCAGCTCACAATGAGCCCCTATTCTTCAAAGAACTCTTTGTACCCGATTGATTCACCACTTCGGACCTACTTCCCATAGGCTTTCCTTCATTCCTATGGCACTTCCTTCGTACCTTCCCGAACTAAATGCCATTTATAGAAAAAAAAACAAGCGGAAGGCTTGTAGGATTGAAGCTGACACCCTATCCGGGCTTCACAAAAGTTTAAGAGCCTCCACAAGATGGCTCAGCACGATGATGGTGTTCCCCCCAACCCCGCTCCTGCACCGCATATCAAAACATTTCGCTCAAAATTGTGCCTTGACGGGGTTAAAACAATGACTAGGGCGGCCTCTTCAAAGAACGTTATGGGCTGGCGAACGCGTGGAACATGGGCATCGCTTATCTGCTCATTGCTATCGGATCTTATGGTGAACTCCAGACAATGATCGCTTCCAGCGATGGGATCGAGAACTCCTCGCCAATCTCCAAGAATCATTTTTCGTACTTTCTTACACTGAATGCCACCTGGTATTCAAAAAAAGCGATGCGTGATTTGTGCTGATACAAAATCGTGGCTTTTTCTGTGGGGAGTTTAATGGCCTCCACAAATTGGCCCAGTACGTAGACAGACGTTCCAAAATGTTCCTCGTAGTGAATTCCATCCCTTCTGACCCATCAAAACCCTAGAACACCAAACCGCTTCCAACCGATTAGAGCTACGAGAACTCCACGCTAGTACCCCTGCATAATTTTTCGAACCTTACAAGCGGAAAGAAGGGGAATTTAAGCTAGTACCACATCGTGGCTTCAAATGGTCTTTTTAACAGAAATTTTTCAAAAAAAAATGCTCCCTCCCCCTTCCTCCCTACGTAAAACACTTGCGTTCCTTCCGACTCAATCAAAACGCTTGATCTGAGCTGCAAACTCGAGCGCGGGAGGTGGACTGAAGCCCTAAAAATATTGGGAGGATATGATCCGGACAAGCTCCTTACAGAACACCGTGATCGGGTGGGTGAATGAGTGAAATAGGAAGACCGCTTATCTGCTCAATGCTATCGGGTTTTAGGGTGAAACCGGATAGGGATCACCTCCAACGATGAGGGTACGCTTGAAACCCACGAATCATTTTATATACCTTCCTGTGCTAAACGTTGCTTAATTTTACTGAACAAACGGAAACTGTGGTGAATTGGAGCTGGTAGACATCGTGGCTCCACAAGAGTTCAATGGTTCCGTCAAGATGGTCCAGCAAGTTGACAGGAGTTTCCAAAATATTCTCCCCCTAGCGAGCTCCCGTCACCCATCTGACCCATCAAAAACCCATTACTCTCAAAATAAATCATTGACGGTCACTAAAATTCCACAATTTTGTGAAAACTGCGTCTCTGATGATGTTCTAAAGACCATTACTGGGCGGGGGTGGATTTGTGAAAGCGGAATACATGGGCAGAAGAGCTTACATGCTCATTGCTATCGGATTTCTTTTAAGTTGAAATATCAGACAAAATGCGCATATAACGGTGAGCTGAGAGTGTGCTCTGAGAATCCCTACGTCAACCCCCACAACATTTTTGTACGTTCCAGTGCTGAAATGGCCGCCACTGTTAAGAAACGAGCGGAACATTGAAGCTGGTACCACACTGCGGCTACAAGAGTTTCATGGTCCCAGCATGTTGATAGAAGTTCACAAAATGCCCACGAAATTTGTTAACCCTTACCAACTTACTCCCACTAACAATCCATTCTGGCTCTCCAGAACATCCACTCTGCTCAAAATTAAGTTTTGACCGGGGACTAAAACCCCGAAAGAAGGCTCACTACGATGACAGGAGTTTTCAAAATGTTTTCCAGGGCGAACTCCATCAATTTTCACCCATGGGAACCTATTACTTCACAAAATTAAGCCTTGACGGAGGGTAAAACGCCGAAATGTCGATAAAACAACGAGTAGGGCGGCTTCTTCAAAGAACGTTATAAGCAGGCGGATGCGTGGAACATTGAGATCGCTTATCTGCTCATTACTATCGGATCTTACGGCGAACCCGGACAAGAACTACTTTCAAGAATGACTGTGCGCTCGAGAACCCCACACGCCAAAGCCTCGACGGCGCCGAGCCCCGGTCCTGCGTGGAACGGCGTGCGGTAGGCGGCGCGTGGCGGTGAGGGCGGCGCCCAAGCGGGGACGAGGGGGGCGCGTCCGTCGCGGGTGCACCGAGCTGTCGAGAGGTCGTGTGAGAGCAGACTCTTGCAGAGTCGATGCCCATTGACGGCTAGTCCATCGTCAACGGTTCCGTTCCCGTCAGGATCAGAATGCCGGCCCTCAACTCGTCCTCTTCATTCTTGGGCCGACTATCGGCTCGGTCAAGCTTTATCTCATCCAAAGAAGTCAAAGTCACCGTACAATTGCTGAACGACGCCGATACTGTCACCAACGAATTCAAGGTAATTTTACCCCGTCTTTCGCTTTAATTGATTCGATTCCATTTCGTTGCGTTCGTCTCTCATTGTCGTGTATCCGTTACGAATCGCTCAATCTTTCTGTCGCGTTGACCGACATGAACTTTCACTTTCGTTCTGGATTTCTACGACAACAAATTATTCCTTAGGACCACACATTTCTCCTTTTTTGACATTTTCAATATTTACACACCTCCCAAGAACTTGAGATCATTTTTTGCTCACTGACCAGAGTCCCAAGCAAACAGTTTTATCAATAGTTGTTTGTCAAGCGCATATCGTCCCATGGCATATTTTATTGCATTTGAAATGTTTGCAAAAGACATTGGCAGAGAATCCCAAGAGCCTTTTTGAATACCAATTCCTCTTTGTCAAGTTTAAACGTCGCGTTTCCAAACGGTTTTTGTTTAAATCGATTTTGTCCGGGAATTTTAAAGAGGGTTCCCGAATTCATTAAGCAGTTGACGAGTTCCTTAGCAGAGTCGTTTCTCTTGACATCTGTCCGAATGCATAATGGGGCTCACCGATCAATCTGCCCATGGACACTGCCCTTGTCTATGGGCCGTCCCCCCCGTTGCCATATTGGGCATTGATTTAGCAGCTGCTGCTATTACGAATTTTACGAATATGGAGAATTTTCAATGAGACGTGTGAAACCTTTGCAAAAAGCTTCGTGTGCAAATGAATTTCATTTTGAATCAATATGAGACTTTCGTGCACACAAAGGATGCCTCAACACTTCCTTTTGGCTCAGGACCAAATTGACTTCTGCGCAATTCCCTTCAAGGAAAAAAGTCTTTCGGATAAAATTTGGTTACTATTCGACTATTTCTACCCCGAAAACTCGAAGAAAAAAATTAGCTGGAACTTTGCTCATACGGGTTATTCGACGCCCTGATAACGAATACAATACTCTTTTTGACGCTGGCGCCATTTGGCGCTACCACTTTTCCTCACCGAAATCAGTGTCGACATGCATACTGAGGTTATTCGGTGTCGTGGTCACGAAAACGACATTCATTTTTTTTAGCTCTAGCGTCTTTTGACGCCATCAAGCGCCGATTTGGTGCCACACCCTTTTCACCGAAATCGGTAAATGGGTTGTTTGGTGTCCTGATCACGAATATGACACGGGTTTTTTGTACACCAGCGGAATTTAGCTCTCTGATAAGGCTGAGCCTGGGAGGAGGAGTGATTCCCTTCCTGCCAGGCTCTGGCTTAGCAGCAGATGATGGTAGTGCCCTCATTTACCGCCAAAGTCAAGAATGAATGTTATATTCGTAATCACGATGTTAAATAACCCCCTATACAAAATTTCAGCTAATTTGGTGATATAGGTGATGGCGCCATATTGGCACCTAATGGTGCCAGCTGACGCCAGCGTCAAAAATGAATATTATCCGTGATCAGGGCGGGGCACTCACTGAACGAAGCGCGAAGTATCAGCAAAAAATTTTTCTGAGTTCATGAGTAGTAGTATTAAAATAGCGCCAAAATTTGGATTTTCTGTTCGAAATCTTGGAGGTGGTGTTCTTTATTGCTTTTTATCTGTATCGAAAAAGTTAGCTCTTTCTTCTTTAATCTAATTTTTTTCTCTTTCTTCAAGTTGTCGTTTTTGTTTTTTGAGCAGCTCTCAGGTTTTTGAGGTTTAGTTGCTATTCCGTTGGCACGAGTGGGGTGTAACATGTTTGTTTGCACCACCAATTCGAAAACTTCTCTTGTTATAGAGGAACTAGTTTGCCTATTCCGAGAATTCCTTCTAGGTTGAGACCGTTTCCTCATTCTCCCTAGCACCCACTTTCTTGACTTTAATTTTGTTGTCTTTGGCCAGGATGCTCTGTACCTGCGTTAGGATGCGCTTTCCTGTCGACCCTAATACCGAAGAATCTACGTAGCAGTTGTAACTCAAAAGTAACTTGTAATGCAGTATTTGGGCGCTAACCTCAGAGGGCATTCAGAGGACTCCTCGTATATCTAGGATTACCGCGATGGAGACGAGGACCTCTGCCTCAGTCCGAACGGCAAGGAGCAACCCCTCTCAAAGGAAGTCAAAGGAAGGTTGTCTCATTCGGATGATGTCATCCGACATAGGGCACTCAATCCGACATAGTTCATAAATCCTTACTTGACGATTTTAACGGAGAATCAGTCGCGGGAGGGAGGGAGGAATCATGTTTGACCTCATAAACTCGCTCTGAATAGTTATGTTTGTTTCACGCGCGCTGTCCGCGTTGGTAGAATCTGTTGGAGTAGGGGATTCTATTTGTTCATTACTTTGAGAGGGGGTCGTAGAAAGACCCGAAAAAAAGTGATGGGAGGTTAGGTTCTGAAAAGTCAGTAAGATGGTAGATAGGTTGGGTAGGGGAGAGGTGAAAGTCGTGCCAGATAAAGAAAATTAGGGAGGAGATCGTATTTTTCAGAAAATTTCCGCAGCGTGCCTCTGATCCTTTTTTCACACCATAACTCCTTCAAATCTAACCTCTAAGATTATAGCTCCAGTCTCTTTGTTTTTGACCGATGCTGTAACAAAATTTCTCTGAGATTTACTTTTGTAATGGAAGAGCTCCATTCCGTCATTCTTCTCAACCCTCGGTGTACGGTCTCTCGGGATGAGCGGGGTCGAAACTATCATTATTGAGTATGGGAGTTGTCGCCCTGTCTCTCGGCCGGTAAGCCTGAGTCTGGGGTCAAGACAGCTGTTCAGTATTCTTGATGATGAATATGTTTCGCGTGAACCTCCCTCTTATTGAAAGCCACTTGTGTTCTTTGAGCTATGACTGTTGTCTTTAACCGAAGTACAGGTGGTCTTCACGTCAACGCATTGACGCATAAAATTCATTGTTATCACCACTAAAAGTGATAACACCCTTCAGAGAAAAAATGTCGCAGTGTCTGGCTTTAATTGTGGCAGTAGCGTTCCTAA